CCAACAGCTCCAGCATTTTAACCATCAGGCCTTTACAGCCGGGAGATGGTGCTGTGTATTATTGTGCCTTGCAGGGCACAATGGTTCACCTGCTGCAACACCCTGAACAATAACTTGCCACTGAAGGAGAGCTTGATCCAAAGACCATTGAAGACAAGGGAAAGACTCCTGTTGAATTCAGTGGGGCAGCTCAGGTGATTAAAGACAACCGTGGGCATAAATTCCCGCAGAAAGAGAATTCTAGTGCCTAGCAATGTCTGGGGTTAGAGAGATGGACTGAATTCCTCAGGGAAGGTTGGTGAAAAGTTAGAAAATACATAGACAAGGAGGGTGAGGCAATATCTTTTATTTGACCAACTTCTGTTGGTGAGAGAGACCAGCTTTCACAGAGCTCTATGGAGAAGAAGTTCGGTCAATAAAAGATATTACCTCTCCCACCTTTTCTCTTTCTTACCCGGGACCAACACAGCTACCACAACACTGCAAACAAAATAGAAACACAGATAATGACAAGACACTGACCAAACGCAAATGAGTCTTTTCAAGACAAGACATGCAGGTTATGATTCAGATGTGTTAAACCATGTATGAAAAGTTCATATACGTTAATAATGATAAAATCAAGTGGATACTTAAAATAATTCATTGTCCAGTTCTGGTCACCCATGTTCAAGAAAGATTAATTCAAAGTGAAAGGTGTGCAGAGGAGGGCTACTCGGATGTTCAGGGAAATGGAGAGCAGATTTTAGGAGAGGGGATTGATTATTTAGCCTAGCAAAGATTGACAGGGAATGTGTAGGGATGGTGTCACTAGCCTCTGTTTGCCAGAAGCTGGAAATGGGCAACAGGGGATGGATCACTTGGTGATTACCTGTTCAGTTCATTCCCTCTGGGGCACCTGCCATTAGCCACTGTCGGAAGACAGGAACTGGGCTAGAAGGATCTTTGGTCTGACCCAGTATGGCCGTTCATATGTTCTTATGAGGATCTGACTGGTCTTTATAAATGCATCAGGAAGATAAACACCAGGAAGGGAGAAAAACTATTTAAGCTGCTGGACAATGTTTGTAGAAGGAAAACTGGTTATAAACTGGCCGTGAAATAAAGTTAGGCTGGAAATTAGAAGATGTCTAATCATTAGAGGAGTGACGGTGAGGTTATAGAACAGGTGATAGGAGCAGTGGGCGTGAACAACCTAACTAGTTTTAACATGGAGCTTGATAAATTTATGAATGAGTTTATAAAAAGCGGTTACCTGAAATGCTCTCTGACCCAGGATGGAGGTCCCTTCCAGTCCTATCCCTAGGTTCCTATGGATATTAATTGTTTACCCGAATAACTATATTTTCTCTTTATTAAAATATTGGAAGAATGAATCCTATGTGCAAATAAAATCAATATTTTAAATATCACTGTATATAATATAAACGTTATGAAATAACTGTTTATTTGTACTGTATTTTTGCATGTATGAATCAAAAAAAGTTGTCTTCATTAAAAAGAACAGAAAAAATGACTGTGCAAGAAAATCAGTATTTGAAAATAAGTGTCGATAACTCAGAAGAATGTGAATTTTATTAAATTATTATTCCTTTTAAAATTGTATGTTTTAATTAAAAGATGTCTTCGTTTAGCAGTAAAGAAAAATAGATTTCACATCAATTGTCAATAAGAACTTTGTGTATCTGTTATTGGGAAATTCATTGTTTAGTTTATATTTATAATTCACAATTCAGAATTGATTAGAATATAGGAAATGAAAGTACAATACAGGACATGGGAGCACAATACGATACAATAAAATACAAGAAATGAGACTAGACTAGTGTAGACTAGAATGTCCTTTAATGACAGTATTTGTTTCTTTCAATCATTGGATGGAATATGGACTGAAAAAGATACTTGAAACCATATATCTCACGTCCTCAAATCCTGTAGGATATTACTCTACAGAGTCCAAAAGCATTTCAGACATAAAATCCATAGTGGCTGGAGATTTGGATTCCATGCTGGTTAGTACCTGATAACACATCTATCTATCTATCTATCTATCTATCTATCTATCTATCTATCTATCTATCTATCTATCTATCTAAATTATTTCATATAATCTCTCTCTGCTTTATATCTCAACTCTTATAACAATGAATCACCTCTCTTCCCTTCTTGAGAAGAGATATGGGGCATCTCCTTTTGTCGCCCCTGGGTATAGTGCAATGCTGTACAATTCTCATAAACTTTATTCTTGTAGACATTCATGGTGCAATATATTCCTATAACGGGCCTTAAGTGGATGGAAAGACGCCTGTTGACTTCAAAAGACTTTGGATCAGGCCCGGATGAGTCATCTTAAATTGAACAAGGCATGCACCTAAAAAAGAAAAGCACCTATTTCCGGTGAGATGAGAGAGTAGCTCATGAAGTTCATACGAAAGGGACCTCTCTCACAGCAGCGACAAACACCCTTGAGGTCTCAGCATGTCTGAGCTTCCCTTGGTACTTATCCTAACCCTGAACTGGTCCGGTGAGCTTATGAACACCATAGTGTTTAATTCCAGCTTCTATTTCTGTTCTTGGTTGATGTTTGCTTAAAAGACTGAGATGAAATCTTTGTGTCCTAGGGGTTTTGTAATAACTCCGATGTTACTTTGATGTGTTTAAAGGGCTCACTCAAGGTCAGACAGTCATCCAACCCGTGGGAGAAACAAAAGTGAAGGAAGGGGAATTTGTTACCCTGGACTGTAGCTATAATTCTGGCTTCCCAACGCTGCTCTGGTACAGGCAGGAATCCGGAGGATCGCCACAGTTCATCCTTCATGAGGGCTCCAGACATGA